GCCAGCCAGCGCGAACACCCCGAGGTCCGCTCTTACCGCAAGGCACGTGTCGTCAAGGTAGGAGAAAGCCTGGCGCATGGGTCCCGCTGTTGTAGCTCGCCCAGGAGCTGCTCCAAGGCTTGCCGCTGGCCGACGGCGAAGCCAGCGGGGGACAGCGGGTCCCCTTGGTCGAACCCTGGGTAGCTCCAGATAGTTTCGAATCACCAGGTGGCCCCCCGCCACTAGTGCTCGGCCAGCTCCGCGTACCACGCCCGCAACACTTTAGCCACTTCGGGGACCGCCGCCGCCATCGCCTGGAACGCGGGGCCTCGCCTCATTCTTTGAAGCGCCGCCTTCACGTCCCCCTCGATAAACAAGGCGTCTGGCCGCATCTCCGCCAAGGCTTGCAAGTGCTTCGCCAGCAGGGTTGCCCCGCCTTTCCAGCCAGCTCCGTACTGGTTCCGGCCCGCCGCGTCGACAAGCTGAGTCTTCCGTGCTCCGGCCAGCGCCCGCAGTCCGAGGCGGCGGAGCTTCTGAGAGGTCGAACCCCCCGCCACCTTTGTCGAGCGCCACGAGGTCGCCGGACCAGAGAGCCTGGAAGACATCCGGCGGGAGCTCGCCGAAAGCGACCCAGGCGACCACCAGGGAAAACAGGCGCCGAGTCTCTCCGCCGGCGGCAAGGTGCTCCAGCCGCGTTCCAAGCAGGCCTGGCTCCTCCTCCTCCTCTTCCTCCTCCTCCTCATCCTGCTCCTCCTCCTCCTCCTCCTCCTCCTCCTCCTCCTCCTCGTCGTCCTCTTCATTCTGGTCATCCTGGTCCTCCTTCCCCTCCTCATCCTCTTCTTCTTCCTGTTCCTCGTGCTCCTCGTGCTCCTCCTCCTCCTCTTCCTCCTCCTCATCTTTTCTTCCCTCCTCTTCTCCGCTTCCTCCGACATGCTAGGGATGCCTTCGCACTCTCGATGTCGCTTCCAGGAGGCACCCTCGTCAGGGATGCCCTCACACAGCTAGCGTTTGAGCCTGGTCCCGTCTCCCTCCTCCATTATTCCTCTCGCGCAGCATCTCGGTGCTCTTTCCTCCTCCCCTTCTCCTCCCCCATCCTGTCTCCCTCCCGCCTGCCGCGCTTTGGTCGACGCACGCCGCGATTTGCTCCAGCATGGCCCACCCCTGCTCAGCCCCTGCAATCTACCAAGGAATCGTGCTCGCGCCTCTGCGGCAGCTAACTCCTCCCGTCGGGCCTGGGGCGCCCAGACCTCTCCTGGATCAGAACCGGACAACAGAAAAATGCAACCAAGTGCTTCGTTTGGGTCTGACCCCTCATCGGCTCCGCTCTCCCCCCTCTCGCCCCGCATGTCAAGGATGTCTCAGGCGACGCGGGCCATCTCAGACCACCTCGCCCGGAACATCTTGGCGCCCAGTTGCGAAGATGTCTCAAGCGAAACGCGCCAGATCAGCTCGCGTACATATTCTGAGAGCGCAGAGAGTTGCGAGGATGTCTCAGGCGAAACGAACTGGACCACCCCGTTTACATCTTCAAGGAGCCTGGAGTTCCGAGGATGTCTCAGGCAAGACGCGCCAGACCACCTCGCGCGCAGCATCTTGGAGCCCCGAATTGCGAGGATGTCTCAGGCGAAACGGGTTGGAACACCACGCGTGCGACATCTGGGAGCTCAGAGTTCCGAGGATGTCTCAGGCGGCGCCCAGACGCCTACCAGAGCACAATTCGACAACGGAAATGTAATCGAATGGTTCGTTTGCGAATGACCCCTCCTCCCTCCTTTCTCCGCCCCCTCGGAGCCCGGAATTTTGAGGAGGTCTCAAGCGAAACGGGCCAGACCACCTCGCCCGCAGCATCTTGGATCCCCGAAATGCAAGGATCTCTCAAGCGAGACAGGCCACACACCCTTGCGCACATTTTCTCAGGGCTCAGAGTTGCAAGGACGTCTCAAGAGAAACGAGCTGGACCACCTCTCGCGCAGCATCTCGAAGCTGAGGGGTGCGAGGAAGTCTCAAGCGAAACGCGCCAGACCACCTCTCGCGCGGCAATTCGGAGCTCAGAGGTGCGAGGATGTCTCAAGCGAAACGGGCCGGATCACCTCGTGCGCTGCAGCTCGGAGCGCAGAATTGCGAAGATGTCTCAAGCGAGAGGCAGGACCCCCTCGCGCGCGGCATCACGGAGCCCGGAATTGCGAGGATGTCTCAAGCGAAACGGGCCACAGCACCTCGCGCGCGGCATCTCGGAGGCCAGGGATGTGAGGACGTCTCAAGCGAAACGCGCCAGACCACCTCGCGCGCGGCATCTCGGGGCTTGAAATTTCGAGGAGGTCTCAAGCGAAACGGCCCGGACCACCTCGCGCGCGGCGTCCCGAAGCTCAGATTTTCAAGGATATCTCAAGCGAAACGGCCCGGACGACCTTTCGCACGGCATCTCGTGGCTTAGATTTTCGAGGATGTCTCAGGCGCCTCCCGGAGCCAAAATTTTCGAGCATGTCTCAGGCTAAACGCCCCGGACCACCTCTCGCACGGCATCTCGGGGCTTAGACATATGAGGATGTCTCAAGCGAAACGGCCTGGACCACCTCGCGCGCGGCGTCCCGGAGCTAAGATGTTCGAAGATGTTTCAAGCGAAACGGCAAATCCCGGACAACTTAGAAACGAGAAATGTGAGGATATCTCAAGCGAAACCGGCCCGGCCCGAAACAATACGAAACGTGCCCCGATATACGAAACATATAAGAAGCATATGTGTGAGGGTTGTATCTCTGAGGTGTGAGTGCGAGTCATGATTGTGTCTCTAAGGTTAAAAGTGTGTCAGTATCGTCTCAAAGGTTTAGGAGCATGTTGGGCTTTTGTCTCTAAGGTTTCAGTGCGTGTCATGCTTGTGTCTTTGAGGTTGAAGTGCGTGTCGTGCCTGTGCCCCTAAGGTTTAGGTGCGCGTCGTGCCTGTTTCTCTCAAGTTGAAATGCGTGTCGTGCCTGTGCCTCTAAGGTTATGTGAGGATTGTGCCTCCAATGTTTCAATGCGTGTCAGGAGTGTGTCTCCAATATTCAAGTGCGTGTCAAGATTGTGTCTCTAAGGTTTAGGTGCGTGTCTGGGTTGTGTATCTACGGTTTAAGTGCGTATCGATCTTGTGTCTGTGGTTGACGTGCGTGTCAGGTTTGTGCCTCTAAGGTTTAAGTGTGTAACAGCCCTGTGCTTCTAACATTAAAATGCGTGTCAAGATTGTGTCCCGAAAGTTTACGTGCGTGTCGAGGTTGTGTCTCTAAGGTTTAAGTGTGTGTGTGTGTGTGTGTCGGGATTGTATCTCTAAGGTTAGGTGCGTGCCAGGATTGTGTCTCTAAGGTTAGGTGCGTGCCAGGATTGTGTCTCTATGGTTTAGGTGCGTTTCATGCTTGTGTCTCCGAGGTTGAAGGGTGTGTGTGTGTGTGTGTGCCAATATTGTGTATCTAAGGTTTACGCGCGTGTCAAGGTTGTGTCTCTGAGATCTAAGTGAGTGCTGGGTCTGTGCCTATAAGGCTAAGGTGCGTGTCAAAATTGTGTATCTAAGGTTGACGTGCGCATTAGGCTCTCATAAGGGAAGCATCATTAGAAGCCCTTCTCCGGTGGAAAACTGGTAAGGGTCTCATGTGGAAAACCAACTCATTCGGCGTTGGCCCCGTTCACCCGGCGAACCGTCCGATCTTCTGGGGGACGACCCCTTTTCCCGCAGAACAACTTTTTCCGGAGGGGGACCATGGCGAAGCCCGAGAGATCTGGACTTCACGCAATTTTGGACTCACTTGCACGCCTTTTCGGCTCTGCGCTGTTTGAAACGGCGGCGGAAGGGGAGGCGGGGGGAATTCCATGCAAGGGAACTTGCCAGAATTTGTTTCTATACAATATCAGCCAGCGTTGACTCTAAATAGATAAGAGGACAGGAGGAGGAGGACGATAGGAGGATGGGAGGAGGACGAAAGGAGGACGGAATCAGGACGGGAGGAGAACGGGAGGAGCAAAATCAAGCAAGCGCAAGCAAGCAAGCGGAAGCAAGCAAGCGCAAGCGAGCAAAAACAAGCAAGCGAGAGCCAGCGATCAAGTGCAAGCAAGCAAGGCAAGCGAGAGCAAGCAAGCGAAAGCAAGCACGCAAGAGCAAGCAAGCAAGTGCCATTGGAAAAAGGGGGGGCCATTGGAAAAAGGGGGGGCATTGGAGAAAGGGGGGGTCCTACAGACCAATTACTTATGATGAGCCAGGACTCCTATAGGGGAACCCTATTTGGAGGAAAGCACTCTCCAATTTCTCCCCCCGAGAGGTTGGTCCAGTCAGTTTGGAAGGATGGGGGCGGTGCGCAAATGGGGCGGCGGCCTCATCTTCTGCAAAAGTGACCCCAAACAGCCTCCGACAATGCTCCCAGCCGCTCCTAGACGGCTCAAGGTGGCCTTCAAGCCGCACCAGATGGCCCCAACACGTCCCAAGATGCCTCCAAACACCCCAAAAGGCCCCGAAGACGCCCCGAAAGCGCTTTAAGAGGACTCCCAACCAGGCCATCCAAACCCAACTATGTTCATGGGAAATCTAAGATTTTCAGCATAAACGCCAACTCGGTCTCCACAGCCTTCACGAAGGCCCCCGAGGCCCCCGAATCGCCCAAGACCGCCCCTAGACGGCCAGCAAGGCTCTCAGGATGGCCCCAAGATGGCACAAGAAGGTCCCAAGACTGCCCCAGAAGGGCCCAAGACGGCCTAAGAAGGCCCCCGGAAGGGGAATTCGAAGCGGCCTTTCGAGCCCTGCGGCCCAAGAGGGCCCCCGCAACCGCCAGCAGGCCCCTGAGAAAGCCCCAATAGGGCCCAAGAAACCCACAACAGTACCCAAAGAGGCCTCCAAACGGCCCCTAGTAGGCCCCAACATGACCCAACAGGCCCCGTTTTGAGTACGGCATGGGGTTTCCCAGATGAGTTCGCGGCGCCAATAAGCTTCTACGACATCGCCTACCAAAAGAGTGGCATCCAGGGCTCCCACGGGGTCGGTGCTGCGGCGCGAGCCAATGAACCTCGCTGAGCAGCGTCAGCGCCCGTTGCCACTGCTCGCCAAGAGCGCAGGCGTTGACCCCAACGCAGCAGCTGAAGACGGTGGGCTCCAACTTCGCCTCCCACATCTCGCTGAGCAGCGACAGAGCCTGCTGCCACTGCTCGCCCCGAGCGCACGCGGTCGTCCCAGCGTTGAGGGTGATCTCGTCGGGCTCTATATTCGCAAGCCGCATCTCGCTAATCAGCGCCAAGGCCCGCTGCCACTGCTCGCCCTGATCGCACGCGCTGACCCCCGCGCTGTAGCTGACTCTTTAGTGTCCGTGTTGCAAACTTTCTCCTCTAGCATGACTTGGAATCGCATGGCTGGGAGCAAGCGCCTTTCTCCGATGACAGGCGGTCTGGACGGCGATTCTGCATTCTTTGCCTTGCGGGGTGGGCAATCCAGCGTAGGATGCTGGTGGGATGATTCGGCGTTGGATGCCAGCCTCGTGATGAGTCCCAGACATGTTCTGGAAGAAGATTCCTCATCCTGCTCTTGCTTCTCCTCCTGCCTCTGGTGCTGGTTGCCGCTGCTTGCTGCTGCTTACTGCTGCTGCGCCTTACTGTTGGAACCTGTTGGTATGTGCTGCTTGCTACGATATCGTGCAGTTGCTTGATGGCTGATTGGTGCTGAGTGCGAGTCCTACAATCGCTTTCTGATTTTGTTTCCATCTGCTTACTTGCTGCTGTTGCAGCGCTGCTGCTCTGCTTTCTTGCTTTGCGGTTTTGCTGCAGCTGCTTGCTTCTGCTGGCTGATCCTAGCTGTTGTTCCTCGCTGCTGCCTGTGTGGCTGCTAGCTCGGTTTCGTATTAATTGCAATGCCGGGTGCTTATTGCCCATGTTGCTGATGCTTCTTGATGCTGTTGCGTAATGCTGCAACACGATGCGATGCTGTTTGCTGTTGTTCCTCGCTGCTGATGCTGGTGACAGCTGCTGCTTTCTGATGCTGCTGGTTGCTGGTTTTGCTTGCCTTTTGCTGCTGCTGCTGCTACTGCTGCTACTGCTTGCGGTTGGCTGCTTGCGGCCAGCTCTGCTGCTGCTGCTGCTGCTGCTGCTGAAGTGTATTGGAACTTGCCTTAAACATCTTGCGGTATCCTAAACTGCATTGGGATGTCGCGAGGCCCTCTTGGAGCTAGATGGGCCGGCAGGGGCGCTCTCCGACTATCCAGGGCCGTCTTGGTCCCTCTTGGGGCTATCTCGGGGCCGCCGGGTCTCCCCTGGTGGCCTCGCGTGGCTCTCTTCGGGTGTCCAGGGGGCTGTCTGGGGGCCTCTTTCAGGCAACATCGTTGGGGGCGGTCTTGGAGCCGCCTTGGGGCCGTCTTGGGGCCATCTCGCAGGCAAGCCGGGTCTTTGGGCTTGGGGGCGTCGTTGGCCCCCGGAGTGGCAGGCTCATGAGGGTCTCTGGAGCCGAAGGTCCGACGTCTGCGGCCGAGGAGCGGAGGGTGCTCAGGATCTGCGGCTGGAGGCCTGCCAGTCTTCGACTCTCGTGGTCCCTGCGCGGCGCCATCCCGAAGCCTACTGGGGCCACCTCGGCGCCATTTTGGCACGCGCGAGGCCGTCCGAGGCCGTCTGGGACCGTCTGGAGCCCCCCGCGACTGCGCGAACATTGGAGCCCAAGCTCGCACGCACTGGTCCAGGTGTCGTTGCATAGATGACGTCGGGCTCCAACTTCGCCCCCCGCAGCTCGCTAAGCAGCGCCAAAGCCCACTGCCACTGCTGGCTCTTATCGCACGCGCTGATCCCAGCATTGTAGCTGACTGGGGTCCACGAAATCTGCACGAATTGCATGTGATTGTGGATCTGCTACCGAATGGCTGGAATGGTAACGTGGGGCTCGAACTTCGCATTTCGCACATCCTACTGCTGCTTGCTGCCGCTAGTGCGTGCTGTTGGTAATGCTTGCAGCTGCCGCGGGCTGTTGCTGCTTGTGGCTGCGAGGTGCTGCTGACAGCCATATCTGCTTGGTGCGTGCTGCTGCCTGGTGCCTGCTGCTGCTGCTGCTGCTGCTGCTGCTGCTGCTGCTGCTGCTTAATGTTGCTGTGCAGCCGCTGTTGCTGCCTGCTTCATTCTGCATGCTGGTGCCATTCGCTGCTGCTGCTGCTTGATGCTACAATGAGCTGCTTCTCGCTACGGCAGCTTGCTGACGCATCATGCGGCCTTGAGGGGATCGAGGAGATCTAGGATGGATGGGGGAGAAACGAGGAGCGATCAGCGAAGGGCGAGAAGGGATGAGCGACGGCCGAGGAGAGAAGGACGAGGAGGGAGAGCAGGGAGGAGGCGGGAGCGACCTCTTGGGGGTCTCGAAAATCTCTTGGGCCTCGTGACATGAAGCCTGTCGGAATCTCTTGGACGTGCCCTGGGGACCTCCTGGGACCTTCCGGGCGCCATCCTGGAGGCTTTTCAGGGCACGCCTCGGCCATGCGAGGCACTGCCACGAGGTGGAGACGAAAAGCTGGGGAGGCGAGAAGCATTGAAAAGCCAACGGGCTTTGGAAGATGCCCTGCAGCCCCTATGAAAGGATCTTCGGACTTCCTCGAAGACGTTCTCGTGCGAGTCTTGGCGCCTCTGGGGGGATGCTCGGGCGCGTGCGCGGAATCTCCAGGCCCGTCGGGGGCCGAGCGGAGGCGAACGGGGTGGCGTTTGGACGCCCAGGACGGCGTTGCCCGAGCCGCCGCAGCAGAGCCGTCCAGGGCCGGGGTCGAGGGAAGTCTCTCGCGCAGACAGCCTGGCATGGTCGTATGGATGACGTTGGGCTCCAGCCTCGTTTCCAACATTTCGTTTAGCAGCGCAAGAGCTTGCTGCCACTGCCCATGCTCGCCCTTCTCGCACGCGCTGATCCCAGCGCTGTAGCTGAATGGCGTGAAACAAATCCACGGCGTGCTGAACCTGCGGCCCGCGCGCCGTTCATTGGATCGTCGAAGCCGAACAGCTTGTCGAAACTCCTGAACTTCAGGGAGCAGTTTAATAAGACAGCGCTTCCCACCACGAAGCGGTTCCTGACAGATTTCTGATAACTTTGGCGCCCTTCTGGGCCCCCCATCGGGGTTCCCTGGGCTGTCTTGGAACGCTCTTCCCTCCTCCTGCGTGCTCCCTGCGAGCTTCTCTGGTGCTCCTACGAAACACGCCCAAGAGAGTCCAAACATATGACGGATATTGAACAGAACGACGCACCCAACCACGAAACGGATTCTGCTGCATTGCTGTTCATCTTCAGGCTTCTCGGAACACCTTGGGGCACCCCTGGAAGCTCCCTGCGAGCCTCCAGTGCTCGAAGATGCGCCAACGACCCCCCCCGCGAATTATCATATGTTGGCCAGCGTGGGCCACAAACAATGTGTTTTTAGCAACGCACGTCGTGCAATCTGGGTGGAGAAATCTATGCGGTGCACTCGAAGTGTTGCCGCTGGTTTTTACAAACGAATTGACACATCCCAGACTCTTGCAAACATCCCACCCACCCACCCGCAACTTGGTTTGCCACACCCAGGCGGCGGCGACTGCGATGCGTACTTGGCGTTGACTGGTGCATCTCTGCGGCCGCGCCAGCCCAAGCACGCGCGCGCAGCGGCCAAATAGTTCGGCGCGACCGACGCGGCCGCGGTGGCGCTGACCGCTGGGCACATCCCAGCGGGCACTTCATTGCGAGTCGGCGACTTGGGCGGGCGCAGATGTCGACAACGGTAGACACGACGATGATTGTAGCGATGCTGGTGACGATGATGACAACGACGGGGGCGCGGCCAGTGACGTCGCCGATGCTGATCACGCCGCCGACGATGACGGCGTCCTCGCGTCGATGATGAAGGTTTTGGAAAGAGTTCGACATGTGCGCGCGGCCGACGCGCGAGGATGACCTGCATGACCTTATTTGACACGGATCGTGCCCTCCCAGTACGCGCGCAAGGTCGTGCGAATGATTTCGGCATGCGGCGCGACAGGCCCGTTTGGCAGAATGCCATGCCATGCGCATGTTGAAAAACCGATGGTTGTCTTAAGGATTCGCCAGAGCGCGAGCGCAAGCTTTCTTGAAAACTGATGTCGCAACACCATGTGTGTTGTATTTGTTGTTTTTTGGGACTCTCGGTGTTGACATCATTACGACACCGAATGTCTTTGACGGATTTCGGCGTGCGAGCGTGACGACGCGCGCGTGTGCGCTTCGTCCCGCTGTTGCAAAGGATTCTCGCGACAGCACGCGCGCAAGGGCGTTCGAACGATTTCGACATGCGCGCGCGAAACCCTTTTGGTATAATGTTATGCCAATGTTGAAAAACCTATGTTTCCCTTACGAATTCGCAAGAGCGCGCGGGATGAACATTTGCAACCTTTTTGTTGAACAACGATTGGGTTTTAAATGTTTTCATGTTGACACCGTTACGAAGGCAAAGGTCTTGGACGGATGTAGGTTGGCGCGCGAAGCAGACGCGCGCATGTGGCCCGCATGGTATTATGTGATAGGGATTCGCACCACAAGCTCATCTTAGATCAACGCATGTGCAACGCATGGTATTGATTGACAAGGATGAGGGGGGGGGCGGATACCGGCTCGCCTGGGATGGTATGAATTCATAAGGGAAGATGCGCAAGGAGGCGTATACAAACCTACAAAACGCGAGGCCGAGTCGATAACCCCGGGGTGGTGGTGGGGGTGGACTCTAATTTCTCTTAAGAGAGGAGAATGACAATACATGTTGTGCAATCTACGACAACGATTTCTTGCACTATATGCGGTGCGTTCTAGATTGTGCAATCATTGAAATGCAAGCTAAGTGGTGCAATCTATGTGGTGCAATTAATTTATCTTCGCGGTGAGTTGTCCACTCCACTGCTCGCGCAAACATCCCACCCACCCACCCGCAACTTGGTTTGCAAAATCTCTTAAGACCGTGACGGTGGGTACCAAATGGCACTTGGCAACAACAGCGACGCCGACGACGACAGGGACAACGACGACGACGCCGCCGACAACGACTACGACGACACCGACGACGTCTCCAACGACTTCGACGACGCCGACAACGACGACGACGACGACACCGACGACGACGACGCCGACGCCGACGACGCCGACGACGATGACGACGCCGACGACGACGATGACGACGACACCGAAGACGACGACGACGTCACGACGACGACGACGACGACGACGACGACGACGACGGCGGCGACGACGACGACGTCGACGTCGACGACGACGAAGACGACAACGACGCCGACGCCGACGACGATGACGAAGACGACGACGACGTCGCCAACGAAGACGACGAGGGAGGAGGAAGGACGACGACGGCGACAACGACGACAACGACGACAACGACGAGGGAGGAGGGAGGACAGCGACGACGCGAACGACGAAGAAGGAGGAAGGACGGCGACGCCGACGACGACAACGACGAGGGAGGAGGGAAGACGACGACGACAACGACGACGACGACGACGACGGCGACGAAATAGGAGGGACGACGACGAGATGCCGACGACGGACGACGACGACGACGAGGGAGGAGGAGGAAGGACGACCACGGCGACAACGACGACAGAAACGACCACGACGCCAAAGAGGACGACGACGACGAACACGAGGAAAGACAGAGGACGACGTAGGCGACGACGACGACGACGCGGGAGGAGGGAGGACGGCGACGACGACGACGACGACGACGCAAGAGCGCGCGCGCACGCTTTTGTTGAAAATCCGTGTTGCGAAACCTTGGGTTTTTGTAGGCTTGTTGGACACACGAATTTGAAATCCTTCCGAAACCGATGGGTTTTGAAGGTTTTCGGCATACGCGCGCGACGACGCGCGCGTCTGCACTTTGTCCAATTTTTTGAAGAGGATTCTCGCGACGGCACACGCGCAAGGGCGTTCGACAGATTTCGACATGCGCGCGCGCGACGCCCGTTTGGCAGCATTTTATGAAAATCTTGAAAACAAACTATGGTTTTCTTGAGATTTCCCACGAGCTCGCGCGGAAGCTTTTCTTAGCAAATCTGTGGTGCGAAACCTTGGGTCTTTGTAGGTTTTTTGGACACACGATTTTGAAATTCCTCCGAAACCGATGGGTTTTGAAGGTTTTCGGCATACTCGCGCGACGACGCGCGCGTCTGCACTTCGTCTCATTTTCTGCAGAGGATTCTCGCGACGGTACACGCGCAAGGGCGTTCGACAGATTTCGACGTGCGCGAGCGACGCCCGTTTGGTAGCATGTTGTGAGAATCTTGAAAAACCTATGGTCTTCTTGAGATTTCGCAAGAGCTCGCGCGGAAGCCTTTTTAGCAAATCTGTATTGCGAAACCCTGTGTTTTTGCATGTTTTATGGACACTCGATTGCGAAGTCTTTCCGGCACCGAAGGTTTTTGAAGGATTTTGGCATGCGCGCGCGACGACGCGCGCGTGTGCACTTCGTCCCGTTTTTTGCAATGGATCTGTGAACAAGTGTTATGTTAGAACAAAACATGTCACCGCATAGTGCTTTTTACAAGGGACCCTCAGGGGGGGGATATCGGTTGGCCTGGGACATTGTGATTTCATATTTAGGATGGACATGTGGTCATAATCATATATGATTTACATACCCGGAAGGGGGACCGATAACGCCGGGGGGGGGGTAGATCCTATTATGTTTTTCCACTCTGCAGAAGTTGAAGTCGTCATCTCCACTGCTCGCGCAAACATCTCACCCACCCACCCGCAACTTGGTTTGCAGAACCTCGTAAGACCGACTACGACGACACCGACGACAACGACTGCGACGACACCGACGACGTCTCCGACGACTTCGACGACGACAACGACGCCGACGCCGACGACGACAATGACGAGGGAGGAGAGAAGACGACGACGACGACGACGACGACGACGACGGCGACGAAATAGGAGGGATGGCGACGAGACGCCGACGACGGACGACGACGACGGGAGGAGGAGGAGGAAGGACGACCACGGCGACAACGACGACGGAAACGACCACGACGCCAAAGAGGACGACGACGACGAACACGAGGAAAGACAGAGGACGACGTAGGCGACGACGACGACGACGCGGGAGGAGGGAGGACGGCGACGACGACGACGACGACGACGACGCAAGAGCGCGCGCGCACGCTTTTGTTGAACATCCGTGTTGCGAAACCTCGGGTCTTTGTAGGTTTTTTGGACACACGATTTTGAAATCCTTTCGAAACCGATGGGTTTTGAAGGTTTTCGGCATACGCGCGCGACGACGCGCGCGTCTGCACTTTGTCCCATTTTTTGCAGAGGATTCTCGCGACGGCACACGCGCAAGGGCGTTCGACAGATTTCGACGTGCGCGAGCGACGCCCGTTTGGTAGCATTTTGCGAAAATCTTGAAACACCTATGGTTTTCTTGAGATTTCGCAAGAGCTCGCGCGGAAGCTGTCTTAGCAAATCAGTGTTGCGAAACCCTGTGTTTTTGTATTTTGTTTTGGAAACTCGATTGCGAAATCTTTCCGGCACCGAAGGTTTTTGAAGGATTTCGGCATGCGCGCGCGACGACGCGCGCGTGTGCACTTCGTCCCGTTTTTTGCAAGGGATTCGTGAACAAGTGTTATGTTAGAACAAAACATGTCACCGCATATTATGATTGTACAAGGGGCCCTCAGGGGGGGGGATACCAGTTGGCATTTGACATTGTGATTTCATATTTAGGATGGACATGTGGTCGTAATCATACATGCTTTACATACCCGAGAGGGGGACCGATAACGCCGGGGGGGGGGTAGAGTCTATTCTGTTCTTAGAATGGAGAATACAAAGGATAATCGATCTGGTACAAAGCAGTACAAATCAATGCGTAGCAAAACAGCGTAATGCAACGCAATCCAAATCAACGCAGCAATGTAAATGATGTAATACAGGGCAACACAAAGTACGGTAAGCAATGCAATGCAACGCAAAGCAATGCAACACAATAGAAAGCAACGCGCATCAACGCAATGCAGAGCAATTCAGAGCAATGTGAAGCAATGTGAAGCAATGCGAAACAATCCAAAGCAACACGTAGGAATGTCAAGCAATGGCAAATATGGCAAACTAGAGCAAAGCCGCGACGAGGCGGCGACGGGGCGGCGACGGCGACAACATAGCCGATAGACCGGCCCGCCGCCCAGACAACGAGGCGGCGACGCGGCGGCGGCGGCGACGACGACAAAATAGCTGCCAGACCGGTACGCAGAAAACTCGTAAGTGCAAGCGCTGTATGGGAAACTCATTCAAACAGCGTGTCCAATCCGAAAGCGGATTCTGTCAAATTTCATGTGAATTTCATCACCTCTTGGAGCCTTTTTCCCGGTTCCTGGGGGCCTGTCTGTGGCCTCTGGGTGCCCTCTTGGATCATTTAGGGTGTCTCTTGGGCAATCTTGGAGCCCGCTTTGGGTTCTCGTGGGCAGCTCTTGGGGCGCTCTTGGGGCTCTCTTGGGCCGTCTTGGGGCGCTCTTGGGCTGTCTTGGGGCTCTCTTCGGAGCTTCTTGGGCCGTGAAGGGGCGACCTGGGAGGGCCCTGGAGCCGTCTCGGGCTGCTCTGGGCCAGAGGGAGAGCTGGAACATTGCTAAAACATCTAAACACACCGTGTAATTTGAACTCGGCGGGCCGTCATCGGGGCCCTCTCAGGCCGTCTGGGGAATCTCTTGGCTTGTTTTATCAAGGCCATCTTAGGCTGTTTTGGGGCTTGCTTGGGGTCCTCTTGGGTCGTCCGAGCGCCCTCTTGAGCGGCTCTGAGCCGTCTAGGGCCGACCCGGGACCTCCGTGAGCCGCCCCGGGCCGAAATCCGCCTGTGCCATCTCGCACGCGCTGGTCCCAGTATTGTAAGATGGACTCGAGATGACCCATGGACTACGTCCACGAACTCTTCACGAACTGGCACGCGGGGGTGGACGTGCTGCCGAAAGGGTGACATGATAACGTGGGGGTCGAGTTTCGCAGTCCGCGCCTGCTAGTGCGAGCTGCTGCTTGCTGCCACTGTTGTGCTTTTGGTAGTGCTTGCCACTGCAACGTGCTGCTGCTGCTTGTGGATGCAGGTTGCTGCAGATGGCCGCATCTACTTGGTGCGTGCTGCTGTCCGGTGCCTGTTGCTGCCTGCTCTTTCTTTGTGCTGCCGCTACTGCTGTCTGATTCGTGCTGCGTGATGCTGCTGTTCGCTGTCGCTGCTTGATGTTGCAGGGTTCAGCTTGCGCGCGCAACCTTCTGCCCGGGAGAGGATCGAGGTGCGGAGACTCAGGATCGAGGAGATCGAGGGAGAAGCGAGGGGCGATCAGCGAAGAGCGAGGAGGGAGAAGCGACGGCCGATGACAGACGGGGGAGATGGGAGAGCCGAGGGAGGAGGCGGGAGTGGGATGAGGAGCGAGTATCCAAGAGGGGGAAGCGAGGGGTCGGGAGAGGAGGAGCGAGGAGGAGTGAGAAGAGACGGGCGAGGAGCAACGGGCGATGAGCGTGGAGCAAAAAAGCAAGGAACAATAAGCGAGGAGGGAAGCTTGAGAAGTGGTCAACACACGAAACTCCCAATGACCTCGGTGCGCGTGTGGCCCAACATGGGGCCAACTTGGGGCCTTCTTGGGGCCGACTTCGGGCCTTCTTGGAGCCTCTTCGGGCCATCTAAACGTCCCTTTGGGCCTCTGGATGATGTTGAGGGGGGGGGAGCTGGGAGCGGTTGGGGGGTTCTTTGGGGCGGTCTTGTGTCTTGTTAGGGCCGTCTTACGGCCTTGTTGGCGGCCTGTGGGACCGTCCAGGGGCCGTCCTGGGGCACTGTAAAGCTTTCCTGGGGCCATCTTGGGCTGGGGCCGTCCTGGGGTGATCTCGGGGGCTTCTTGTGCCGTCTTTCGCGCTCTGAGGCCAATAGAAACGAGCGTTTGAGACTCCGTCGAACTCAGATGGGTGATGTTGGGCTTCAGCTTCGCCTCCCACATCTCGCGGAGCAGCGAAAGAGCCCACAGCCATTGCCGGCCCTTCTCGCACGCACTGATCCCAGCGTTGTAGATGACCACGTGTGGCTGGCCTGTGGACTACGTCCGCGGCAAGCGGCCTGATCTGATCGGAATCCTCCTGGCGGCCACGAAAGTTTACTTGCATCCAGGGGTGAGGATCGCTTGTCTGCGCGACTTCTTGCCAACACTCCGACAAGGGTTGGCTAGCCAAGTGGCCTGCAACTTGTGGCCTCATCGCCTGGTTTCTTTGTTTCTGGCTTCGCTGCTTGCTCGTCCGCTTGCTGCCGCTTGCTGCTTCTTAGTGTCGCTTGTTGCCACTTGCTGCCGCTCGCTCCTTCTTGCTGCTTCTTGCTGCGGTTGACGAATATTTGCTGGTCCGTGCTGCTTCTTGCTGTGGTTTGCTGCTGCTGCTGCTGCTGCGTGCAATGCTGCTTTGTATTGCCTAGTCCTGCTTGAATGCTGCTGCATGCTCCTTCACGCTGTTGCTGCGTGCTGCAACTAACGCTTTTTTTCCGCTACCGCTTGCTGATGCTACTTGCTACTGCTGTGTTGTGCTTCTTGCTGTTGCTGCTGCTGCTGCTTGCGACTTGCTGGCTCAGCTTGGCTGATGATTGTTGGTGCTGCCTGCCGCATGTTGCTGCTTTACTGCTGCTGCGTGCTACTGCTATGTGCTTCTGCTAGTGTTGCGGCTTTCTGGTGCTGATGTGTGTACACATCTATACACACTAGAACCACGCGCGCGCTTCACGCGCGCTTAGGTTCTAGCAAACTCTAGTTGTAGTATAAAGTGAAGACATCGATTGTCGCACGGGTCGTGCCCTCAGGGAGCTCCACCTGCAGCCCCAGAGACAGGCTTGGCTAGCGTTCCCCCGCCCTTGTCGGCACACCCCTCACAAAGGTCACGCCCCACAAGGAGCTCCACCTACGTCCCGGGAGACAAGGTTCGCATAGTGGCACGCCCCTCACGCGGATCGTGTCCCGCAAATAGCTGCATACGCGGCACTCACGTGAAACTTCATAACGTCGCCCCGCTCACTTCGGCACACCTCTCACACGGATCGTGGCCCGCAAAGGGTTCCACGGACGGCCCTGGACACAAGGTTCGCATGGTGCCCTCCATCTACTTCGGCACACCTCGCACACGGATCGTGGCCAAATGGGATCTCCACCTACGGCCCCATAGGCAAACTTCGCACTGCGCCCCTCCAGCCAATGCGGCACACCCGATCACGCGGATCGTGCCCACAAGGAGCGCCACCTAAAGGTTCAAAGACAAAATTCCTACACCGCCCCGCCTCCCATGCCAGCAGAATCGCCACGCGAACCACGCCCCAGAAGGAGCTCCACTCATGGCACCAATGGGCAGCTTCGCATGGCGTGTCCCCGCCCAGTTCGGAACATGCCTCGCACGGGTCGCGCCTGGAGGTCCACCTATGGCCTTACAGTCAACCCGTCTCACAAGGATGCGCGGTAAGGATGCAAGGGTATCGGAGGGCCAAGTCGACGTTATTTGAACGAGGTTGGCCAGTGAAGATCGCTAAGCATGGGCCGAAGAGGCAAGGATGCAAGGCTACCCTTGGGCAGGTTGCCCATCCTTACTATGCGGGTTGACTTCCGTAATGGGGGCGTTCGCGCGAGGGCATCCGGAAGATTCGGCACACCCCTCACGCGGATCGTGCCCTACATCGAACTTTTAGGCATTCGACACACACCCGTGCACGCGTGCTCCTCCTCCTCCTCCTCCTCCTCCTCTTCTCCTCCTCTTCTCTTCTCCTCCTCCTCCTCCTCCTCCTCCTCCTCCATCTTCCCGCACTGCCTCGCGGCGCCCAATGTACGAAGAGAGGCCCGCGCCCTGCGCTACGCATGGCTGCTTATGGATGGGTCCGTCGCCAGACCAGTTGCTTTCTTATCTATGGCCTGCAGTCCATACCGCCAGTGTGACTGAGTTTTGGGGCCAGAGGATCCTTAGATGGCTATAATAGGGGGAAAACAAACCTACCTCGCTTTCGACCACCCTCGCTTCCAAGAGATACCAAGCGATGCCAAACTACGGCCTGTACTGGTCAGGTCGCTTGACGAGGAGGCGCGTGGTATGACTTGGTTTTTCCTGGAAGCGAAAGCGGGGTAGGTAATTCACGCTCTGATATAATTCGGAACCTCTTGGCATGCGGCATGCTTATCGGGCGCCGCGTGGAGCCAGGCTTGAAGCTTCTTGTGGCCTCAAGTGGGCCATGCGGGGGCCTCTTGGGGTACCTTTCGTGGCCCCTGGGTGCCTCTTGGGCGCCTGCTGCGGCCTCGGGGGTCCACTCGTGGCGGAAGGCTCGAAATGTCAATTGGAGTTCCCCCTCTTGGATTCCTCTTGGGGCCCTATTGGGCCGTCTTGGGCGCCTCTTGGACTGTCCTGGGGCTCTCTGGGGCCGTCCTGCGGCTCTCTTGGAGGCCTCCTGGGCTGTCTTGGGGCGATCTGTGGGGCCCCTTCGGCCGTTATGGACGCTTCTAAGACCCAAAGTGTGAATATTGCAAAACGTGCGCCGATCCCCTGGGGGATGGAACAATTTTGACCTCCTGAGGCCTTCTCGGGGCCCATCTTGGAGCCTTCGACGTCTTCGGAGCCTCTTGAACTGTCTTGAAACCATACCAAAGCGTCGTCGGCCCTCGTCGCTTTGTGGTGGCCTCCGGGAGGCCCCGGAAGGGGTCAAGCATGTCGTGGGGGAAATCCGGGAGGGAGTTCCGGCCTGGGGCCTTCATGGGCTGTCTTGGGGGCCTCTTGGGCCTTATGAAGCTCTAGTGGGCCGTTTTGGAGTCCTGTAGGGAGCCTCTTGGGCCGTCTTGGGGCGATCTTGGAGGCTTCGCTGGCCGTCTTGGATGCTAGCTACAGAGACGGAAATTTTTGAAAATGCAGGTCTTCCTCTGAGGGTCGTCTGCAAGGGCCTCCTGGAACACTTTCGGCGCGTTTTGGAGGCAACTAAGGCCGTTGGAGGCGCCGAGTTGGCCGTCTGAAACGTCGGCGCGGTGGTAGTACAGGAATTGCTCCAAGAAGTTACGGCGCACCGCAGTCACCGGAATATCGCTCGCCAAGTAGCAGCCCGCGAAAAAAAACAAACTCTGCGCATCCCTGTGCCTGCGCACGAATGCACCCCTGTGCTTATGTACGCCGCCAGCATGTACATCACAGTGGCCGCGTACACCACAAAGCCCGCGTGCACCTCCAAGCGCCCGACGGTGTCAAACTTCGACAAACCATGGCCGGTTCGAACGTATCAACTTCAATATGCAAGTTGTTTGTGCGTTATTGATTTTTTCTTGCCACGGGCACGGCCCCTACCCCCGCTGCCTCGCACAGCAGTGCCAGTGTACACCAAAATGCTAGACACCGCCACGCCTGCGTGCACCAAAACTGCCGCCGCAGCCAGCGCGTGCGCTACGTGTGCACACCGATCTGCTTCTCTCTTCCACTGTGAGTGTGCCGCCGCGCCTGTGTGGGTGCCACAACAGCCTCCGCGCGCCACGCGCCTCCACGTAACACAAGCGTATGGCTGCGCACACTGCAAGCACGTTGCGCGCACACTACGAAGAGCATACCTGTGCGCTAAACGTTAGGCGCTGCTGCAACGGGGGCCGGTGGGGCGGCGGGCGGTGTGTGATCTACTGGGTGGGTGGGTGGGTTGGAGGCCACATAGCGCGCGTTATGTGCTCGAGTAAAAAGCTTCAGCTCAAGTCGACACAGGATGAGAAGCCGGTCCCCTGGAAGGGGTCCGGACCTCTGGGCGTCTTGTAGCGCTCTTGGGCTGAGCTTACTTGGATGTTCACTGGCATGTCGTAGGACGACTCTGGAGGCTTCTTGGGGACAATTTTGAAAACTCTTGAGGGCCGTCTTGGAACCCTTTGCGGCGCGTTGGGTTTTTTGTTGGAGGCTTCTTGGGGGCCCCTCGGGGGCCTCTTTTCGGGCCTTTGGTGGCCTCTTGGGGGCCTGTCGATGGCCTCTTGGGGTCTCCCAGGGGCGTCTTGGGGCGGAAGGCTCGGATGTTCCGTCCGTGTTACCCCTCTTGGCCCCCTCTTGGGGCCGTCTTGGGGCCCTTTCGGGCCGTCTTGGGTGCCTCTGGCGCCGTCTTGGGGCCCTCTTGGGCTGTCTTGGGGCCTCTTGGTGCCCTCATGGGCTCCGTTAAGGCGATCTTCGGGGCTTCTTGGGCTGTTTTGGAGCGTCGGAGAAGCGAAACCATCTTTTTGCCCAAAATGTACTTTTTCCTTGCGGAATTTGAAGATTTTGCCCTCTCGCGGCCATTTTGGTAGGCCTGTTGGAGCTTCTTTAAGCGTCTTGGCGCGTTCTTGGGCCACTTCGGGGCCATCTTGGGCGTTTCGTGCCGGTGTTTCGGTGACTTTGGACCGTCTTGGAAGCTTCTTGGGGCCCTTTCAACACGTTTCGGGACTGCCTTGGGCCGTCTGGGGGCGTCCCTGGAAGCCCGGTCCTCCCATGCCCCGCGGAGGTCCGTGGGCGCGGCCAGGGGGCCTCGCCCCCTGGGATATATATATATATATATATATATATGTATATATATATGTGTGTGTGTGTATGTGTATATATATATATATATATATATATGTAAATGTTTCTGTATATATATAGATATGTATGTATATTTGTATACGTATATATAAGTATATTTATACATATATGTGTATATATATATATAACTTGTGTGTGGGACCTGTTGGTGCTCTCTGGAACCATGCTGGGAACATCTAGGGCACCCAGAGCGTCGATGCTGGGATCCGTCGAGGACCTTTTGAAACTCTCTGGAGCGATCTTGGGAGCATCTTGGGCATTCGGGTAGCCCTAAGGACAGGAAAGAACAGAGATATCTTGGGGGGGCATCTGTGGACTACAGGAGGGCCATCTTGGAACGATTTTGAAGCCTCTGAGGGCTGTAGGAGGCCCTTGAAGGGCTCTCGTGTGGACTCCTGCGTGCTCCGCGGGCCCTTCTGAGAGGTATAGATAGGTGCTGCCTGGAAAGG